AGGGTACTTAGAGCATAAGTTCAAGCAGATCAGCGCCGAATGTGCCTGACGCAAGAAAGATTTGCCCAGCAAATCTCTGGGAGGTTGAAGTCGCCCATCACCAAACACTTATTTGCGGACTGGGAGCGAATGAATTCAAGTACCTCTTTGGATACGCTCCCAGGGCTTCTATACACAATTACAACTGTAACCTGAGCCGAGGATGTGCTAATAACAGCCGATAGAGCTTCAACAGTTTTGTCTGCCGACTGAAATAAGCAAGTCTTCAAAACGTCAAGTTTACAGCTCACATAAAGAGCGACGCCCCCTCCCTGTCGGCCAGCAGAGCGATCGCATCTAAATAGTGCGTAGCCAGATAGATGTACTTCACCATCCGTGATGTCCTGAGACAGCCACGTTTCAGTGAATGCGAGGATATCGGGATGAGACCCATCTACAAGCAGACCTAACTCGTACACCTTATTCCTTAGGCTGCGCACATTACTTAGCACTATCTGAAGTTTTCGTTAGGTCCAGACCTGGGTCGTGCGCTACCAGAATGAGCAGTGGTAGGGCAGAAAAAAACCGCCGGCTGACCACCCGAAAATCCACTAACCGGAAACCTTGGTCACCGGCCGCTCGCCTGCTTTTGAGGTCCTTGATGGCCTCCCTTAACTTCAGCCTTTCAATTAGCGGAAGGTCCGGCTGAACGCTAATATTTGCACCTTCCAGCTTAAATGCAAACCGCATGAGAGCATTGCGTTCCTCCCGGGTAGAGAGTACCACACGAAGTAGCCGCGGTCGCGGGTCTGGTACGTTAACTGAGACGTTCCCCAGTCTACTCAGCTTCCTGACAGTGTAGCGGACCGTTACCTAATGAGTGCTAGTGCTGGGGCAGAATGCAGTCTTAAGCAAAAACACAAAATAGAGGAAAAATCAATGCACTTGCGTTATAGTTCCTTCTTCAATCAATGTTAGTCCGATGCCGACTAGAGGTTCTAACATATAATCCGAGTAGTGAATAGACATGGCGGCAGCACAATCACGAGAGCGTCCTATCCGCCACTTGGAAATAACGCTCCTTCGGCAGTGTTATCCCGGTACACAGGGTTGCAGGTGATGTGATGTAGATTTGGCGACATTGAACTCATAGTGTTATTTATTAATGATTGAGTATGCTTGCTGAAATCCTATGACCTCAATTGGTAATCAATTTACTAAGTGGTTTAAATGCGTTACGATGGTTAATCATTTTTCCGCCTCACGCGTAACAGCCATGGTGGATGATTCGCTTGCATTCCGACGTATGCTTAAGGGCCCTTATCTGGACTTCGCCTCGGTGAAGAAAGATCTGAAAGAGTTTCAGATTAAAACGGTGACATCCTTTGTTCGTCCTAACGTGCAATCTGCGAAGGCGTACGAAAGGGAGACTGGACAGGTGCTACCGGAAGGATGCCCATACCGGTATATTTTGTTTGTATGTGTGCATGGGAGACGCAGCAATGTTACTGGAAAGCGGTAAGTGCATTGCAATTGTCTCATGATAAGATTACTATAGGTACCGATGTTACAATTGCCTTGCGCGTTTTTCTGTTACGTATAAGGGCGAATGTTATGAAATTGGGAATGCGTACCTGTGGCATTCGCACAGCTTTCAAGTTGGGAAGCCTTGGCTGTATGCGTGTAATCGGAGGCTAACAGAAGATCAGGAGAGGCTGGTGCTTAACTTAATGAGAACGTTTCCTCGGACCCAGGAGATGCGTGCCTTTGTGCGGCAGCAGTATGACATTCGTTCAACAAGGATGGATTTGTATGTCACGCGGCGGCGTCATCGTAAGGCCTGTGTCACAGAGGTGGAGGAGGTGACTCAACTGTTGCAAAAAAATGGTGAGGTGAAAATTCTGCATGAGGGTAATCAGATTCGTTACCTATTTTTTGTACCTTCGCGCATGCTTGAATTGGTAATTTTGGCGGACTCCACGTATCAGATCAATTACGGAGGCTACATCCTGTGGCATCGCATGTTTGTGGACGTCAGCGGCCTCGGTATGAGTTTCTTTTATACCCTGTTGCCTAATGAGACGGAGGTAGCTTACGAGGAGGCAGTGAGAGGTATGTTGGAATTGGCCCCCGCGGTTGCCGGTGCTCAGATTTTGGTGATGGACAAGTGCACCGCGCAAGTGAATGCGTTCCGTAATGCGTACCCAAACGCGAACATTGTTTTCTGCCGGCTATACTAAAGTATAGCCGTATATATCATTAACGTTAACTAAACCGACTATTCTGTTCAAGTTAATACACCCAGACGTAGAAATTACGTAGCTTTTGCTGGATGGTTTTCAGATGTACATTTCCCCTACTTCACATAACACCATCGATTAAGTCAGTCACCCTTAAGGACGCCATATTCATTGCTCCATACCCACTGCCTCTTGAACCCACTTTCCCGCACAGCACCTATTCCACTCAGAAAACACCGGATTTCGCAATTACATACCATCAAGTCAAGCGAACTCTTTTTCCCTTGCGTGATTAAAGGCTATAGCATTTACCAAAGGTAAATGCGAACCAATAGATCATCCTATTTATATGTATATGTATATATCACAGTTAGTTATGCGATATACATTTGCCATTTATGAATACATGTGTGTATATGTATATATATATATATATATATATATATATATATGTATGCATATTTATATATATGTTTGGCTGTTGTTTGATATCCCCGGTGTGGATGCGCTTGATGTGCATGTTGACAAGGTGCCTACCTGTCTATTACCCACTACCTCGTCCATACTGGCTTCAGGAGACTGTTGGTCGTTGCTGGAAGGGACAGGGTGCACGGTCCTTGTGGCCGTGTTAGGATCAAAGAGTGGTTCCATGCAGTCAGTGTGGAGCGGACTACGGTTCAGCCACCGCCTTGCGTGCGCTTGATTCCCAGATACAGTGTGCTTGTGTTTGCCTGTGAAGGAGTGTGGGCCGGCTCCGTTGATGAAACGTGGTTCCCATCCGCAAGCCTCCCGGGTTTACACTGGATATGTGGTTGGAACTGTGGGTGGTGCAGCGCAAGCCATCCATGGTCCCTCTGTAGGCGCAGGCGTCCGGTGGCTTGCCACAGTGACAGGCAAATCCGAAACCGGATGCCGCCAACCATATATATATATATATATTTATATATTTATATATATTTATATATTTATATATATTTATATATATATAGATGCATATACACATACATATAATCATAAACCGCAAATGTTTATCGCATATCCATTTGCGATATCGGGTTCACTTGCGTACCATGCAAATTAACAATGGGGATATATTTCCCATCTAGTTCAAGTTCAAGTGGGACTGGAACGATAGGATGAATCCCGTAAGTGTTCCTTCTTGAGCGGGTCGTCGATCCAGGAGTTGATAGGGGTGCTCCGACTTCTTGATGGGTCTAAAACGAAAACACCCGAAAAACACCCTGGTCCACCAATTTAATGCCCACGTTCCTAACATTAGCTGCCCCGCTGTGTCAGTTACGTGAAGTAAGTAAGAGAGGAAGGAGAATCGAAGGTAAGAGAGTAGGGGAAATCAGTTAAAAGAAGAGAATAATACCAATGACGAGGAAAAGCAAAGAAAATATAATCGAAGTATGAAGATGGGAATTTGTCAGGAAAACGGAAAGGTTTCGTGTTGCCACCCAAGAGCATCTAGTTGACGTTCAAACCCCTTAATCGTAGCTTCCTTGACAACAGGTCTTACGTAATGGTGTCGATCAGTGATCGAGTGGCCTTCGCGCCTAGTTTTCAACCATAAGGTCACCGGTCCGAATCCGCGTAGTGGTGGGCGTCCTCGCGGTACACAGCCTACGCACGACTGCTGGTGGTCGCTTGGCAGCGAAGCGCTGTTACGGCCTTCATCTGGCGATTTTCTTTTAACTTGACGGTAGGATTACGATTCTCAGCGTATTACTGTGGTTAACAATCGATTTGGAAGCACTTCGTTTCTATCGTCGCCTTTTTTACTTTTTATACTGTTGCTGACAGCTTTATTTACTGTTGCAGAGAAACAGCTCTGCAGATGCGAGCATTGCGACAGATGCTTCTCTCGTAGGAATGCATTAAGAAGACACATTGAAGCAGTGCATCTAAGTGAGTATTTCTTTCAGATTGTTAGATGTTTTCCCTTATTTCAAATGTGCTAACAGTTATTCTGATGAGCTTCATCAGCGTGTCACCGTCTGATGTTCAATTTCACAAGGTACTACACGTAAATTTTGACGTGGTTCTTTTTAACCTTATTTTTGATTCCGTGCCACTTTGGGTACGAGTCCAGCTTGTTGACCTATTAGTATTAGATTGCAAACCTTCAACGCTTCCAGATAAATGGTGCAGCCTGGAATTATAAGAAGCTGTTGGCTATTGCTGTCCAGTGCTTGCGATATAAAGTGCTTCCCCAATCACCCATGCTTGTCACGGGCTAGGGCTATCCAACGTGCTAACGGATAGAGTTCAGCAGTTGTTCTGACCTCTGCGTGTGGAGCGAGTGATGTTCTGAATGGGCGTAATGCCAATGTTGAAGTAACGTAGGTCAGATTGGATGTACAATCCCGAAAACCAGTGTTTAGGAAGCTATGAGCAGGGACCTAACGCCATATTATCTCTAAGTGCATTACATTTGGTGCATTGTTGAGCCATCTACATTTCTTTGCGGTTTGTAGCCAGTTGAACTCTTCTTCCAGTCGTGTTAACCGCGCAGCCTTGTTTGCTTGTTCTGCTTATCAGAAGGCCATCAGATACATCCGAACAAAGGCTTACTCTACGCAGCTAATCTGACTTCATGGTGCGATTGCGATAGCGTTTTACACTGGTTAGCAATCGAATTTGGAACATTTCATCTTGGTCGTCGCCTCTTCTCCACTTCTTTTACTCTTGTTAACACAACTATTGCAGAGAAAATGCCCTACAGATGCGAGCATTGTGACAGATGCTTCTCTCGGAGAAATAAATTAAAGGACCACTTTGAAAGAGTGCATTTAAGTGAGTATTTGTTTTAGGGTGTTAAATGTTTTCAATTATTCTAGGTGTGCTCACATTTATTCTGCTGAATTTCTTCTGACTTTCTGTACCACATGGAGCTACGCGTTGTATGTGACGTGGTTCGTGTGGTCATGTTTGTGCCAAGATTGATTTTCGTTCTCCCTCGTGTTAGTGACACCAGAAAACTAAACTAGTAACCGAGCAAGCGAGTTATGGTGCTACACACTGATGATACCACTTCACTTGATCTCTAGTCCATTGAATCACGATTGCCAAGCTCGGCGAGCACATTTACGCATGAACGGCGAAGATTAGATCACAGTGGTTCGAGTAATTTTGATCTTCAGCCATGATCGATTTGGAATTTCCTGCGCATTATTGGTTCCATGATCCTCTGCTTTTCATGGGCTGCGCACACTCGACCGCCTGGCATGTACTTCCGAGCGATCACATATAGTGTCTTTCACTGTTGGTGCTGTAGTCGACGCCTATGTAAGCTGGATGATCGTGTTAAAATAAATCCCCACGGACCGATGACGGGATCGGAATACGATTGCGTTTTGGAAGCAAGGCATCTTAGAAATTGAATTCATCCTGTAATTGATATGTGGTCTTGATTCTTTTGGAAGCTGCTGGATCCCTGCTGTACCATTACATTATCCTGTAGATCGCTCTCGCCATTCCCAAGCTCAGCGTACTACTATTTCAATGGTTATACGCTTGTGCGCGCAACGCTACACGAGGCAATGGTGGTTGTTAGCATTTTTCTCTTCGATTGCTCTGTTTATTAGCAAATCGTTTGCCCTAACACACGTTGTACTATACATGGTTTGCGGCATGCGGTTCTGGGTTTTCCTGTCACTGGGGACCTCCATAGCACATCCCCAATACGCCTGCGCCTACTGAGGGACCATGGGTGGCTTGCGCCGCAACATCCACAGCTCCATTCACACACCCCATATCCGGTGTTACCCCGAAGGAATAAGACCGGGAGGCATGTGGATGAGAGCCACGTTTCACCGACGGAGTCGGCCCACATTCCTTCAACAAGCAGAACAGAAGCGTTCCGTCCTAATTCGGAAATCATGCACACCTGACGTACACAAGGCGGTGGCTGAACCGTAGCCCGTTCCACGCAGGATGGAACCACTCTTTGAGCCTAGCACAGCCACGAGGGCCGTACCTCTCGTTTTCCAGCAACAACTCCGTCTTCTGGAGCCAGTAATCGAAGTGGAGTGTGTTAGCCAGATAAGCACCTTGTCAACATGTACCTCAAGCGCAGCCACATTGAGGATATTAAACAACAAAATTAGAGTGTAAGGGAAGACACGTACTCAAAATTTTCCCGGCAAAACTTCAGTTCGAGGTTTGTGATCAACTCACGATTTCATCTCATCTAAATGCTGAATACTGTATCATAGAGCGAGTAGAAATGAATTCTGTACAACTCTTTTAATATATAGTCCTAAGTGTCATAAAAATTGTCAGCCATGAATATCGTTATCGTTCTCACTTAACATGTAAAATATCTGACTCACAGATGTGCGATGTCATCGTATGTATGCAACCGTTCTCTGAATCAAAATACTGGTACGAAATAAATCTAACAACGTCCTGAACTGCTGCACAGATATTGCCTCCATTATATGTCAAGGCAAACTGTTCCAAGTATTTACCACTCTCCGTTCGAAGCACACTGGCTGGGGAACTCGCTTCTCACCCGGCACGAGAAGTTTATCTTTGTCCGCCTGTGCTGCATGGTCCTCGTAAGTGCAGCATTGGCCTCAACATGGGGAAGTCACCTGTATGTAGCATACGGTAAGTCATAATGATGTCGACTCACACCTGACGGTAGGACAAGATGTAGAGTCCTAGTTTCTCGTAGCGCTTTATACCCCAACCCACGTAAACTCGGGATGAGCCTGGTAGCAGCGTGTTGGACCCGTTCGATCTGTTGTGCCTCGCCTCGGGTAATCGAAAGTAGGTGGGCGAATCTTACCCTAGCATTGGTCCAATGATGGAAGAAAATACAGGAATGGTAACCTCTTCAGACCATGTGCCGAAGCTACGTTTGAGCGCCCAAAGCATGCGCAGTCCGTTACAATATAGCCTCTTCATGTTGTCGACGGACTTCAAATCGTAGCGCGGGAGTACACCTAAGTCCTTCACGGAGGGTGTGGGATATGGCAGTTGGCCGTCAAGGATGTAGGTTCGGCCGTCAGCACCCTTTCCCAGGCTCATAAATACAGATTTGGCCCGGTGATGAACTTCCGCAGACCATGCAGATAGCCGGATGAGGTATTGCTGAAGTAGGCCACAGTCATCGGGTGCGTCAATTTCTCTCCAAGTCTTTATGTCGTCCGCAAACATGCACACAGTGACCGGAGAAGCTGAGATAGATCGTTGATGTGGATCAGGAACAGTGTGAGCCCCAGCACAGTAGCTTGTGGCTTGCCATTTGTAGAGGGATACCAGTCAGTTAGATGGTCGTCCACATGTACCTTTTACTTTCTTCTAACAAGAAAGTCGCCGATCTACCGGTGTAATGAGCCACCGACGTCGCACATCCTGAGTTTGTGAAGGAGAACCACATGGCTGACGTTGTCGAACGCTTGAGTGAAATTGATGAATATCACATCGACAGACTTCTCCTTGCTTAATGCCTTCAACCACTCACGCCTCGTTTCGAGCAAGTTTGCAATGCATGAGCGGTCTTGCTTACAACTGTGCTGTGCGGGCGTCTGGATCTCATTTGATTGTAGAAGCTACAAGAATCCATTTTTACGATTTTCTCAGCAACTTTTGCCAAAATGGGTGTCAGACAAATTGGCCTGTGCTTGTCTACTTTGCTAGGGTCGTCGCCTTTCGAAATAGGCATCACCGAACATTTCCAGTCAATCGGCAACGGACCTTCAGACTGCGATCTGTTGAAAGGTCAGTTACGACAGAAGTAATGATAGACGAAAGTGATTTGAAAATCTGGGTGAAGCTCATCCGGTCCGGTAGCTTTGGTGCCGTTAAGGTTTGCATGTAGTTGACATACTTCTTCAACGCCGCAGTCCAGACTGTCGAGTTCGGTAAAATCGGTACATGTCGAACTCAAAATAGATACCTGGTCATTTGCAAGTACAGAAACGAAGTGCGCCGCCAACTTGGACGCACACTCCGTGCTGGGGGTTAGGGGTTGTCCGTCTGTGCCATCCAGCACTGACACATCACCTGCTGGCTTCAGGCGGCGCTTCCCCTAAGCAATTTTTTTCTTTAGGGTGGTCTTCCCGGCATTTGCGAGCCGCTCTTCGAAATGTCGGCGCGTATTCTTTTTTAAACTGTTGCAGAGGTTCCGCTGACTTTTATACCCTTCGTAATCATTAGCAGACCCAGAGAGGAGGAATGTGTCTCACAATCCGCGCCGCCTCCGAGCCAGATTTCCATAATCCTTGTCAAACTGATAAGGCTTAACCAGTCCAACCTCCCGACATTTCAAGGGCGCAAATTGGGAATACAGTGATGTCAATTTCCTTTTTATACATGTCCAACAGTCTTCCACAAATGCAGCTTGTGAGAGACCAATCCAGTTGGCTCGCGGCTGGAACGCGACCGTCGAAGCCCATTTTCCAGTAATGGTAAGCTGGTTCCAGCGGACATGAATACGGCAAAAGTTATTCCATATCAGCTATAAGCACAGAGTGGTCGTTTTTAGCCAGGGGCTCCAGGATCCGAACGTCACGCACTGGTAGTTCGTAGCTCGTTAACATCAGGACGAGGTTGAGCGTGGTGTTATGGGTGTTGGCTTGCATATGTGTTGCGATGCACCAGTTTCAAGTACCAAATCCACGAACTTTGCTTCAGCCTCACCATATCCAGGCATCAAATGCACATCAGGCCATCATATTCGAGGACAGTTAAAATCGGCTCTAAATAGGAAGTGGAAGACTCAAGTGGGTTCGAACACGGGGCAGGCAATCCAAACAGCGACTCAGCGGGTTGTGATAGACTGTGCCCTCAAGTATTTCTCCTCGCCTGAGGTGGATGGAGCACCACAGTAGCTCACACACACCATCGTCATTTCGGTAGTTGCTCACTAGTCTCCCACGCAGGCAAGACCGAATGTAGAGCAAGACACCACCGCGGGCATCCGTTAGTCTATCGCATCGGTAACACGAGTAACCTTTGTGTTCAACTTCCTGGGTGTATAACACAGAATGCAGCCATGTCTCTGCGAGTCCCACTACGTCTGGCCGCTCAGACGTAACGAAGCAGCAAAATCATCACGCTTGTTCATAACACTACAAACTTCGATGAAGGCTAAACGCGGTGTTATTTTTTGCCTTTATCACCGTGGTATGTCGTCTGGTCACTTGAGGCATCCACACCGGTCTTTTCCAATTTGCTTGTTTCGCCTGACAACTTATCACACAGCACAAACCTGATCTCTGGCTGGCAGCACGATCGATTGTGCCAAAGATTCTAGCACCAAATGGGCGGTGCCGTCTAATGCAGGTTGTTAAACATTGCTGCCCCCTGACTATCATGTACAAGATTATCTTGCTGAGAGAGACTGTATCTGATCAGTTGCGGGAATCGGCAGTCGGTATGCCGAACAGATAGGCATTATTTGCTGGGTCGGACATGACTTTTGCAGTCTTTATGTATAGTGGCGCTTATGCTCAGTTCTGCACCCATTCGACATACTTTCTTTGTATATACTTCCTTAATTTTTTGGACACTGCTAGTTAAATATCTTGATGATGGCTTACTATGAACGTGCGTTAAATCTGAATGACGGATAGAAGCGCGCAAACTGATTTCTTTTCCCACGCTTCACGTTCGTTGCTCGTGTCATTCACTGCCCCCCCCCGTGGCTCAACCCATCTAGGCACAGTATTGATGCATAAGCACACGCCGAGATATGTGCACTTTGCTGGCGTGCAATGTTGTGAACGAGTTGCTTACCAAACTCTTCCACTGACTGGGTTGGCAGCTTATTATTGACACCCACG